CATTTATCTATATAACTAGCATTCTTTCTCCTTAGACCAGTAAGCCTCCCTTTGGACTAAGTGAATGTCTTTAGTATTCTGTTTTTATCCCCTCACAACACACACACACACACACACACACACACACACACACACACACAGGTTTATCTATACATTTTTGGTTTTCTATCCCAGACTTTGGACTCTTGTCCTGCTTCTTATTTTCTAGATCTGTTATAAATCTACAGTGTGTTCTTGTCACTTTGGCTTTAACAGACAGTACTTTATAAGTAAATATTAAGGTGAGGAAACTAACTTTTATGTTAACCCATATTAGCCACTGAGGATATATGGCATCTTTTGTGCACATTAAAGAACTTCCTTAGCATTTCTTTTAGCACTTGTCACTTGGTGATAATAGTCTGAGGTTTTGTTAAACTACCACAACAATAAAAGCCCCACATTTCTACCTTTGTGTTAAAGGTTATTTCATTGGCTGTGGAAATTTCACTTGGTAGGGTTGTCCCAACCCAACCATTTTAGAGATGACATTTCATCATTTTCTTGTTTAAATGGCTCGTGAAGACGTAAGTACTGGTAACCCTTCTTCTCTCCACTCCTTCCTCCTCCTCCTTCTTCTTCTGGCTCTCTTCCCCTCTGATTTTTTTTTTTTTTTTTTTTTCTCTTTTCTCTTTTGGTTTTTCGAGACAGGGTTTCTCTGTGTAGTCCTGGCTGTCCTAGAACTCCATCTATAGACCAGGCTGGCCTAGACTCACAGATATCTGCCTGCCTCTGCCTCTAGAATGCTGGGATTAAAGGTGTGTGCTACCACCTCCTGGCTTCTCTGCTGATTTTTCTTGGCATAATAATATTGCAGTTTGGTTGTCTTTCTTATTCTTCTTGATTAAGTTGACTTTTGTTTAATTTGGGGATTGTGTGTTGACTTTGTCCTCCTCCTGTCTGTCTTGTTAGCCTTAGGCTTATTTCTTTGTTTCTCCTCTTTGCCTTTCATTTAGGGATGACCTTTACTGCCCTGTCTTCAAATGCACTGCTTTTTGTTGTTCTAGGGTGTTTTTTCCACTGTCAATTTATTCATAAAACTTTTTTAAAAATCTTATTTTTAATCTATTTTTGGAGGGAATCTAAACAGCCTTAACTCTAAGGTTCCTCTTGCTTTCTGACTGACACATGGCCCCTGGGGCCTGTGCTGAAAGCTTCACATAGTCTGTAAGCCTTGCCAGTGGAGTGCTAATCAGTTCATAGTCTGCAAGCCTTCTTGCAACTGGAGTGCTAATCAGTTCCATGTAATCTTTAGGACCAATTTAACCTAGAGCTTCCTGGCAATTATGATTCCCTTGAAGTTATTCCTTGCTGGCCCCATGGAGTTTAGCTATTTTCTAGACATGTTTCCCTTATCCTCTATACTCTGGCATATAAATTGTAGATATTTTAGCTTCTATTGACTCAAGAATTATTCATTCAGTTCAGTGAGACTGCCTAGTAATTTGATTTTCTTTTCTTTCTTTCTTCTTTTTTTCTTTTCCTGTAGTCCAGTTACTTCTGGCTGGAATCCAGGAGTCCCCTACAGGGTTTATTTCTTTCTGTTTTGTCAGTGTTATAGTTAGCAGTGCTTTAATAATCTATCCTGACATGGATAATTTACAACCATTTCTCCCAAGTTGTTAGCAAACTTTAATACAAATATATGTCTGTTACAGAAAATGGAAATAAAATCAAGTTTGGGAACTTCTAAGTATATTTTTAAAGCTTCAGTTTATGTAGTTACAAAAGCAGTATTAATCTACTTATTTCTGTTTCACCATCTCAGAAGTGGGAGGACTATACTACTGTTTTCATTCAACCATTTTCTGACTTTAGATAAGCAATGGTATTAGGAAAGATGAGATTTGATAAAGAGAAATTTTGGTGTATGTCATCAGAGTTGATGACTTGATATGAAGATAAGCTATATTTTGTACATTCAAAAAAAAAGTGAGGGAAAAATGAGGAAAAAACAGAGTCAAAGAAGTGACTTTTAAACGTTATTTTATTTATTTATTTATGTATTATAACCAAGTCCATTTAAATGAAAACAAACATTTATAGACAATATTTGGGAATTTGGGCATCATTCTTTCCAAACTACTTCCTGCTGGTAACGGGCACTGTCATAGGGAGTCTAAGAAGATGCAGAAATCCTGGCGTAGTCTGCAAGGCTGCTTTGTCCAGCTGTTTTGAATGTAGGATCACCTGGTACTCTGTTTCAGGCAGTCAGGCTTGATCAAACCACATTAGTCTGGAATGAATCCACAGCTTTTCATTTTCTGTGGACACAAAAATAGAAATCCTTTTCCCCAGTAACTTGTCCTTGAACTTAAATTTTGGGGTCAAAGCATTTTTTTTAATTTAATTTATTATTTTACATGTCGATCCCAGTTCCCTCTCTCTCTCTCCTTCCCTCCCTTTTACCCTCTCTGCCCTCTCACATGCCTCCCCTCCCATCCCCCCACCCTCCCCTCCCATCCCCCCACCCTCCCCTCCCATCCCCCCACCCCAATTCCATATGTAGGGGAATGCCATCCAGTTGGGGTCATGTAGATCTGACAGGTCATGTGAAGTAGGGACTAGGGCTTCTCTCCTGTCTCTAGATTAAGGCAGTTATCCCTCCATGGGGGATGTGTTCGATAGGTCCTTTTGTGCACCAGGGATACATCCTGGCTCCACTGTCTGAGGTCCCTTAGACTGCTCAGTCCTTCTGGCTGAGACCCATATTCAGGGGGGCCTGAGTCAGTCCCATGCTGGCTTCCCAGCTATCAGTTTGGTGGCCCATTAGCTCCTCCTTGTTCAGGTAAGCTGTCTCTATGTGTTTCTGCCACCTGGTCTTGTCCTCTCCATCTGCATCTGGGTTCTAGTTCGACTCAGTGTTTATGTATGGGTGTTTGCTCCTATTTCCAACAGGTATTAGATGAGGGCTCCATGGATAAGTTAGTTGTTGATATCACTATCCAGGAAGGGCATTTATGGTAGCCTTTCCACAGATGCTCAAATTGTTAGTTGGCGGCAGTCTTGTAGTTCTCTAGACCTTTCTTTGTGTTCAGTTTTATCTTCAAACCAATATTGGCTCCCTCTTTTATGTTCTCTCTCTCTCTCTCTCTCTCTCTCTCTCTCTCTCTCTCTCTCTCTCTCTCTCTCTCTCTCTCTCTCTCTCCTGTCCTCTATTGCTAACCGGACTCAATCTTCCTTGTCTCACGTGTTTTCCTTTCCTCCCCCTCATTTTCTTACTTCTCTCTCCATTCGCTGCCCCCACCCCCAACTTCTCCTGTGCTCTGGGGGACTTGTCCCTTCCCGGTTCTGTGAGGGACTTCATATGAATCTCTTAGAATACACCTTGTATCCTAGTTCCTCTGGTGGTGTGAATTATAAGCTGGTGATCCTTTGCTCTAGGTCTAAAATCCTTATATGAGTGAGTACATACTATGTTCCTCTTTTTGTGACTGGGTTACCTCATTCAGGATGGTTTCTTCAAGTGCCATCCAATTGCCTGTGAATTTCGAGATACCATTATTTTTTTTTCTGCAGAATAGTATTCCATTGTGTAGATGTGCCACATCTTCATTATCCATTCTTCAATTGAGGGGCATCTAGGTTGCTTCCAGGTTCTTGCTATTACAAATAGTGCTGCTATGAACATAGTTGAACAGATGCCTTTGTTGCATGGATGTGGATCATTTGGGTATATGCCTAAGAGGGGGATTGATGGGTCCTGTGGTAAACTAATTCCCATTTTCCTGAGGAACCACCATACTGATATCCAAAATGGCTGTAAGAGTTTGCACTCCCACCAGCAGTGGAGGAGTGTTCCCCTTTCTCCACATCCTCTCCAGCATGAGTCATCATTGGTGTTTCTAATTTTAGCCATTCTGGCTGGAGTAAGATGGTATCTCAAAGTTGTTTTGATTTGCATTTCCCTGATAGCAAGGATGTTGAGCATTGTCTTAAGTGTCTTTCAGCCTTATTAATTTCCTCTATTGAGAATTCTTTCTTCAGTACATTTTTTAATAGGTTAAACGTTATTTTTAAAAAGTGAAAATTTTAACTAAAAAGCATTAAGATCTCAAGTATAAGTGGAAATGTAAGAAACAAAGTAATTCTGACTCAGAAGAAAGATGAAACCTACATATGTCTTGTTGGCTTTCTATGTTGAATGAAACAGAGATGAGGTGAGTTATGAACTTATTAAAGCTGCTGTTTATATTTTATGTCTATAAGCCCCAAGCTTTATAAAACATCATTAATCACTGCAACATTAAGTGCCATTTTGAGCAAGATGCTCAGAAAGATCCTCCTCTTGGCCTTTAATGATGAGCAAAGACCAAGAAATCCAGCACATTAGTTGCACACAAAATAACAGAGAAAATAAGAACAATTTGTTGAACTCTCTCTTTCCCTCTCTCTGTCTCTGTCTCTCTCTCTCTCTTGTTTTGTTTTTTGTTTGTTTGATTTGTTGTTGTTTTGGTTTGGTTTGGTTTTGGTTTTCTGAGTCAGGGTTTCTCTGTGTAGCCCTGGCTGTCCTGGAACTCATTTTGTAGACAAGGCTGGTCTCAATCTCAGAGATCCATCCTCCCTTGCCTCCCAAGTGGTGGGATTAAAGGTGTGTGTCACCACCACCCAGCTGGACAAATTGAACTCTTAAATACTCCCCTTAAGCTGATGATACTTTTGCTTCTACTTATCAATCCCTTTAAAGTATAATTAAGGGATAAACTTCAGGTTGATTGTAGAAAGTGTAAATTCAGAATTAAAGTCAGTATTTCACATTAAACATCAGTAATAGCCTTAAGCAAATAATTCTCTTGAGGTATGAGTTCAAGAGGTACTTTCTCATAGTATAGTTGAGCTTATGATTTGTCAGGCTCTTTGATGACAAAGGCTTATCTTTTATTGATTGAAAAAGCATCAATATTTTTTATCCTGGACAGAGAAACATTGTTCATTTACATTTTTTCTTTTTTTAATTTTAGAAATTAAAAGCCAAGAAATGCCTCCTTCTACAAACAAAGAACTGATTCTTGGCATCATGGTAGGTACTGCTGGAATCAGCTTGCTAGCCTTATGGTACCACAAGGTCCGTAAACCAAGGACAACAATGAATTTCCCTAAATTTCTTTCCCTGGGTAAGAAATTTGATTCACTAACTTTGCAAGATGAAACACACAGTGAACAAGGAGCACCAGTGGTCTTTCAAAGAAGGCAACTTCAGATACTAGAAAAGTTGAATGAATTATTGACCAACATGGAAGAACTTAAGGAGGAAATCAAACTTCTGAAACAAAGGATTCCAAAGCTAGAGGAATATCTAAAAGATGAACTTGGAGAGAAGGTTCATAAAATCAGTCCTCAGCACAGAGCTAGAAAAAAAAGGCTGACAACAGTTCAAAGTACAGCAACAAGTAATAGTTCAGAGGAAGCAGAAAGTGAAGGAGGGTAAGTGTCCTTGATGTTTCCTATCCATCTGATTATCTCTCATGTTATTGCTATTATATAGGTAGCCACTCACTCATATGATCTGAACAGAAATGAAAATCAATTATTGTTTTTCCTTAGATTATAATTAAAAATGTTAAATATTATTGATATTTTAGATAGCTTAGATCACATTGACTAAAGGGATGGATGGAATGACATCCTGTTAGAGTTAAGGAAGACTATTATTATTTTCCAGAATAGGTAACTGGTTATTATTAAAAAATAACCCAGTAGTATGTGTCATCATGTAAGAGTTGGGGAAGACATCACTCCCTGTGATGTAAGAGGTTGACTATATCAATGCTGGCCATCCACTAGCCACATGTGACTCCTTATTTATTTATTTATTTTTCTTATTTTACATATTGATCATAGTTCCTTCTCCATAGCTCCTTTCCTCCCTCTCTTCCACCTTTCCATGCCCCCACTACCACCCTCAAATACCATCCCCACCCCCAACTCCACATGTAGAGGGATGCCTTCCTGGAGGGGTCATCTAAATATGTCAAGTCATTTGGAGTAAGGACTAGGCCCTCCCTCCTGCCTCTAGGTTAAGGGAGTATCCCTCCATGGGGAACGTGCTCCCAAAGTCCTTTTGTGCACCACGGATACCTCCTCGTTCCACTGTCAGAGGTCCCTTAGACTGTCCAGGCCTTCTAACTGAGACTCATGTTCAGGGGGTCTGAGTTGGTCAAATGCTGGATTCCCAGCATTCACTCCAGGGGCCCATTAGCTACTCTTTGTTCAGGTCAGCTGTCTCTGTGGGTTTCTCTAGCCTGGTCTTGTCCTCCATCTCTGCATTTGGATTCTACTTCTGCTCAGTGTTTACCTGAGGGTGTCTGCTTCTGTTTCCATTGGCTACTAGATGAGGGCTCTATGATGGTGGATAAGTTAGTCATCAATCTCATTAACAGGGAAGGGCCTTTCCACTGGTACTCAAATTGTTAGTTGCGGTCAGTCTTGTAGGTCTCTGGACATTTCTCTAGAGTCAGTTTTCTCTTCAAACCTATAATGGCTCCCTCTTTTATGGTATCTCTCTCTCTCTCTTTCTCTCTCTCTCTCTCCTCTCCTCTCATCTAATCCTCCCCTGACTCAATCTTCCTAGACTCACATGCTTTCCTCTCCTCCCCTTCTCTTTCTCCTAGGCCCCTCTCCACTCACTGCCAACCCCACTCCCAATATGCTCAGGAGATCTTGTTCCTTTCCCCCTTTTGTGAGGGACCTTGTATGAATCTCTTAGAATCCTCCTTGTATCCTAGTTTCTCTGGTGGTGTGAATTATAGGCTGGTGATCCTTTGCTCCGTGTCTAAAATCTATATATTAGTAAGTACATACCATGTTTCTGTCTTTGTGACTGGGTTACTTCATTCAGGATGGTTTCTTCAAGTTCCATCCATTTGCCTGCGAATTTCAAGATCCCATTGATTTTTTTCCACAGAATAGTATTCTGTTGTGTAAATGGGCCAAATCTTCTGTATCCATTCTTCATTGAGGGGCATCTAGGTTGCTTCCAGGTTCTTGCTATTACAAATAATGCTGCTAAGAACACAGGTGAACAGATGCCTCTGTTGCATGGATGTGGATCATTAGGGTATATGCCTAGAGTGGGATTGCCAGGTCCTGTGGTAGACTGATTCCCATTTTCCTGAGGAACTGCTATACTCATCTCCAAAATGGCTGTACAAGTTTGCACTCCCACCAGCAGTGGAGGGATGTTTCCCTTTCTCAACATTCTCTCCAGCATAAGTTGTCATTGGTGTTCCTAATTTTAGCCATTCTGGCTGGAGTGAGATGGTATCTCAGGGTTGTTTTGATTTGCATTTCCCTGATAGCTAAGGATGTTGAGCACTGTCTTAAGTGTCTTTCAGCCTTTTTGGTTTCCTCTATTGAGAATTCTCTCTTCAGTTCCCCATATTTTAATATAGTTTTTGTCGTTTTGGTGACTAGTTTCTTGACTAGCCCTCTGTCAATGTAGGGTTGGTGAAGATCTTTTCCCAGACTGTGGGGTGCCATTTGGTCTTGTTAACTGTGTCCTTTACCTTACAGAAGCTTCTCGGTTTGAGGAGGTCCCATTTATTAATTATTGATCTCAGTGTCTGTGCTACTGGAGTTATGTTCAGGAAGTGGTCTCCTGTACCAATTTGTTCAAGAGCACCAATCACTTTCTCTTCTAAGAGGTTCAGTGTGGCTGGATTTATGTTGAGATCCTTTATCCATTTGGCAATAGACATGGGTCTATCTGCAGTGTTCTACACACTATCATCCAGATTGCCAGCACCATTTGTTGAAGATGCTTTCCTCCTCCCATTGTATACTTTTGGCTGTTTTATCAAAAATCAGGTGTTCATAGATGTGTGGGTTAATATCAGCATTTTCGATTCCATTCCATTGGTCTACCTGTCTATTTTTGTGCCAATACCAAGATGTTTTCAGGACTGTAGCTCTATAGTAGAGCTTGAAGTCAGAGATTGTGATGCCTCCGGAACTTCCTTTATTGTACAGGGTTATTTTGGCTATTCTGGGTCTTTTGTTTTTCCATATAAAGTTGAGTATTATCCTTTCAAGGTCAGTGAGGAATTGTGGTGGGATTTTAATGGGGATTGCATTGAATCTGTAGATTGCTTTGGGTAAGATTGCCATTTTTACTATGTTTATCCTACCTATCCAAGAGCATCGGGGATCTTTCCATTTTCTGATATCTTCTTTAATTTCTTTCTTTAAAGACACAAAGTTCTTGCTATATATGTCTTTCACTTGTTTGGTAAGCATTGCTCCAAGATAATTTACGTTGTTTCTGGCTATTGTAAAGGGTGATATTTCTCTTTTTTTTTTTTTTTTTTTTTTTTTTTTTTTTTTTTTACTCAGCCTTTTTGTGGTCTGTATATAGTAGGGCTACTGATTTTTTTGAGTTTACCTTGTATCCTGCTAGTTTGCTGATGGTGTTTATCAGCTGTAGGAGTTCCCTGGTAGTGTTTTTTGGGTTGCTTATGTAAACTATCATATCATCTGCAAATAGAGACAGTTTGACTTCTTCCTTTCTGATTTGTATCCCCTTGATCTCCTTTTGTTGCCTTATTGCTTTAACTAGAACTTCAAGTGCAATATCGAAGAGATGTGGAGATGTCTTGTACCTGATTTTAGAGGAATCGCCTTAAGCTTCTCTTCATCTAGTTTGATGTTGGATGTTGGTATGCTGTATAATGTTTAGGTATGCTCCTGTTATCCCTGATCTCTCCAAGACCTTTATCATGAAAGGGTGTTGAATTTTGTCGAAGGCTTTTTCAGCATCTAGTGAGATGATCATGTGGTTTTCTTTTTCAGTTTGTTTATATGGTGGATCACATTGATAGATTTTCATATGTTGAACCATCCCTGCAACCCATGATTGAAGTCTACTTGATCATGGAGGATGATTTCTCTGATGTGTTCTTGGATTCGATTTGCCAGTAGTTTATGAGTTTTTTGCATCAATGTTCATGAGGGATATTGGTCTGTAGTTTTCTTTCTTAGTTGTGTCTTTGTTAGGCTTTGGTACCAAGGTAATTGTGGCCTCATAAAAAGAGTTTGGTAATGAACCTTCTGCTTCTATTGTGTGGAACAATTTGAAATTCTGGTAGAATTCTGCACTAAAGCCATCTGGCCCTGAGCTTTATTTGGTTTGGAGGCTTTTGATGACTGTCTCTATTTCATTAGGGGTTATAGATCTATTTAAGTTGCTTATCTCTTTTTGATTTAATTTTGGTATGTGATAAGTATCCAGCAGTTTGTCCATTTCCTTTGAATTTTCAAATTTTGTAGTGTACATATTTTCAATGTATGACCTGAAAATTGTCTGGATTTCCTCAGTGTCTATTGTTATGTCCCCCCTTTCATTTCTGATTTTAATATTCAAGATCTCTCTCTCTCTCTCTCTCTCTCTCTCTCTCTCTCTCTCTCTCTCTTTCTCTCTTTCTCACTCGCTCTCTCTGCTTTTTTAGTGAGTTTGGATAAAGGTTTGTCTATATTTTAGATTTTTTTCAAAGAAACAACTCTTTGTTGCATTTATTTATTTATTTATTTATTTGTTTTGTATTTTTTTTTCCTGGTTTGTACTTTAGTGATTTCAGCCCTCAAATTGATTGTTTGCTGGCATCTACTCTTCCAGGGTGAGTTTGCTTCTTTTTGTTCTAAGGCTTTCAGTTGTGCTGTTAATTCTCTAATGTGACTATCCTCTGTTTTCTTCATATGGGCACTTAATGCAATGAACTTCCTTCATAGCACTGATTTCAAGGTGTCCATAAGTACGGATATGTGTGTACTCATTGTTGTTGAATTCTAAGAAGTCCTTAATTTCTTTATTTCTTCTTTGACCCAGGTATGGTGCAATTGTGCATTGTTCAGTTTCCATGAGTTTGTAGGGTTTCTGTTATTTGTTTTGGTGTTGAATTCCTACTTTAAACCATGGTGGTCTGATAAGATACAGGAGACTATTACAATTTTTTTCTTTTCTTTTTTTTTTTTTTTTTTTTTTTTTTTTTTTTGGTCTCTGTTTGTTATGGTGCCTAGTATGTGGTTGATTTTAGAGAAGGTTCCATGTGGAGCAGAGAAGAAGGTATATTCTTTTGTGTTTGGTTGTAATGTTCTATAGATGTCTGTTAAACCCAATTGAGACATAACTTCTGTTAGTTCTTTTGTATCTTTGTTAATTTTCTGTCTCGTGGACCTGTCCAGGAGCGAGAGTGGGGTATTGAAGTCCCTCACTATGATTGTGTGAGGTTTTATGAGAGCTTTGAGTTTTAATAGCATTTCTTTTATGAATGTGGGTACCTTTGTATTTGGGGCATAGATGTTCAGAATTGAGACTTTGTGCTGATGGAATTTTCCTGTGATGAATACAAAATGACTTTATCTCTTTTGATTGATTTTGGTTTGAAGTCTAACTTGTTAAATATTAGGAAAGCTACAACTGCTTGCTTCTT